GTGGCACATCTAAACACTGCAGGACAGCGGCCCTTGAGGACTGGAGTTTGACACCCCTGCAGTAGACTGTAGTATTGGACTACGAATTGGACTAAAATCACAGTACCGCCTCTCTCATTATAACTGGCCGCTGTTTACCCTCTAAATATGGCGGACGCGCTTACGTGTTCTAGCGCCTAGCAGTCAGTATAGCTAGTAAGTGTTGTCTCAGTTCTTCTCTTACCGTATATTCTTACTTTTATTCGGTGGAAGAAGAGCTGAAGGCCACAGAGTCCAATGTAACTGTCCAAAAATCTTCGTGTGGATCTTTTTTTGCTTACTTAATTTTAAGGGGAAAGCCAGTTAGCCCCCGGGCTAACTCCGACCAGTTAGCTCTGAGGCTAACTGGTGTCTTTCAGGGTGTTAGAGCTGTTAAAATAGACACACATCGGTATTAATGGTAGACTTCAAATATTATCAGAGACAATGAGGCAAGGTGTGACGAAAGTTTTAAATGAAGAGCAGAACGAAACTAGAGTTGATTTTTGGTTCTTGCGGTTGCTAACCGGAAGTTGGATTACTACTTCCTTAGTTTGAAGCGGCAGCTTGCATCCAAGTTTGCGCTACTGCCATCTGTTGGATCATATACATAATATAAAAAACAAACATACACGCAACGTCACCTTTTCCCATTCTATCACATAATTTCTTATAGGAAGTGAATAGGAAGTATATCATTCACATACTTCCTATGCACACTGGAGAACAAATTTATCCCGGATAAATGACTCCTAAATCTCTGATCCCATAATTGAGCCTTGAGGCAGAACACAAAAAGGGGATGTTTGAGCTGAATGGACCCATGTTCATGCATATCAATAATAGATGATTGGATTGGAGCATTTTAATTCCATTGGTTCTGCACAATTGACAAAAAACCTGACTTGTCCTGTTTTAAACGCAATGGTATGAAATGTCTTGTAAAATGATAAAATAGGTAATATGAAGAGTTAATATAGTTATGGGTTGGATTCCATCTGTGGGTCAAATAAATTATGTTT